TAATACGTATGTGCACGTTCTGTATTAGTATTACGCTACAACACATCGTGAAACAAAAACCGTTAAGTACGTTTTAATAATTACTATCTTTTTTTCTTCACGTTCGCTTTTCTATAATAGTTTACAACCGCCTTACATTGGTTTATCCTCTTCTTTCCTTCTTTCCTTTTTTTATATGTATAAGTCGAAACCCTTTCTCGCGCGGAGCGTATATACGCGTATAAAATCTAGATCCAGCTTAAAACGTACAACATCGTCGCCGTGGACCGCGCAACGAAGCGATACAAACTTCGTGACTCGTGCGAAAACGATGCGGCTTTGAGCATCGAGGAATAGATAAGAAATCTGGGACGAAGAAGAAGAGCCTGTGTGTCTGCGTGTTTCCTCGCGATCACGAAAAATCGACGTTTGCCTCGGATGGATAAACGCAATCGGTACACGTATAATTACGACATTAAAAACGATACACGACATTGCATGCGTATATACATAGAATAATATTACTAAAACACTATTCGTCTCCGACCGTTGCAGAGATCCTCATTTTTAAAATCACGAAACTGCAATTCCTTTTCCGAAGGAAACGCGTTCGGCGAACGCGTAAAATGAACAAAACGGACTATTACAGCGGACCTCCTGTTGTCCCGATTAGATTCGAGATCGAGTTTTACAACAGATTCCTATAAATGAGAAACGACAATTTTGTTTTTACCAGTAATTTCATCTTTCCAAAAGCGAAATCGAAAAGGGAGTCTACTGCGCGAGTAATTACACTTATAGACGAACGTTCGATGCTTGAGCGATCCTTAGAGCACATATTACATGGAAGCATGCTTACGGCGACAGTGTAGACGATTGTAAGAGAGAGAGAGAGAGAGAGAGAGAGAGAGAGAGAGAGAGAGAGAGAGAGAGAGAGAGTACCCAAACTATTGCTCTCTCTGTCTCTCTCTCTCACCGTTGTCTACACTTTTTCACACGGCATGATACCTCTATGTAGTATATGCTCTAATAAGGAGCGATCTGATCGAGTAGCAGCATCTTCTCGCGTCCAGGCTATCATTTTTTCTCTTTCTCCACGTTTTCGACGCTCGATACCCTGATTGCACACATAACAGTACTAATTCGCGATTGTTGTACAGCGTCTCATTGATAATCTACAGTTACACGAATGCAATTCCGGATAACAAGAATTTTCAACGTCTCACTCACGCACTCGTTAACCGATGCGTAGACATAGAAACAATGTTAAATAAAAACTACGTAGATATCTAATGCCAGTCTTCCTCTTATTCGGGTTCACATCGATAGTCGCGCGTTTCTTACACACCTCGACGCTCTTCTTTTTTAATCTGGCTACCAACGATCGTAGCGGCGTAAGCCTGGATTTTAATAATAATCGTGTTTGAACGATCGGAAATCGTCACGAAACATGTTTCATCGAGAAACATTTTATGAAAAATAGCAGTGGACGTTGACTTACGCCGCTACCATTTTTGGGTCTGATTAATTGTTCAGACGGATGAAATTCTAAAAGGTAACGCTGATCAGTTCTTCTTCACGGAACGCTAAATATCGTTCGACAGTCGGAAACTTACATACATACATACATACATACATACATACATACATACATACATACATACATACATACATACATTTACATATATACATTTACATATATATATATATAAATGTATATGTGTTTGTTAAATCATTAGACGAGTAGAACATCCTTCGCTCTTATAATCGAGAGATTTAACAAGACACGATATTAACATACGAAAAAACAGTAAAATCTCTTCAGCTCCGTTTCAATACGAAATACAGGATGTCTCAGAAAAAGTGTTAGAGCCGAAAAAGGGTGATTCTGAACAACAATTTCCTTTGCAAACTTGCAAAGTGAGGCATGGTTTTTAAATTATTGATGAAAAGCACTGACCAATGAGAACACGCGTAGGGCCCGCGCCCAGCCGCTTAGTGACTTAGCGCGAACCTTACACGCGCTCCCGTTGATCAGTGTTTTGCGTCAATAATTTAAAAACCATGGCGCACTTTGCATTTCACCAAAGGAAATTGTTGTTCAGAATCACCCTTTTTCGGCTCTAGCACTTTTTCTGGGATCTGTATATTATTTAATAACCGTGATTACACTTTCCCGATTTACCGCTACGGTCATTTTTTTCTAAACACCGTCGCTTATCATCATTAATTATGAAAAGAACTAAATATACCCTCTGAGATCGCGTCGTGATCGCGAATTTAGGACACGTTCGTTCGACCCTTTGCAACTACTTCCGGATGTCCACGTGCCTATACGTACTTTCAATATCATTCCGCATAATTACAAAAATGAATATCAGTTTGAAAAATCAATTCGATTATAATCTGGTTACGAAGAGTTAACGAGATGAACGATCGTACGCGTGTTGACAATAAAGAGGTGAACGACAGATGACGGAAGGGTACGTGAGACATTGTTGTATTACAACGAGACTTTCACGCGATAACATCGGATCGATTGTCTATACGCAATCGAGCTAACACCGCCCGTATTGCTTTGTTTTAAAAGCACCGAAAGAGATAGTATCTCCCTGGCACCTCTGTCCCTTCCGGTTCACCCTCCCTCACTAACTCGGCGTTAGGCTGTACGCGTTTGGACACAAAGTTCACTTGCTCGAAGAAACGGGATCGTTCGGCAATGAACACGACGACGAGGATTCTTAATAGCTTATCAAATTGAAACTACTTTCGATACATTCACAGGAGCCCATTTTACACGTACACAATTCTCGGTTTTTCCTCTTAAATTCCACGCG